CCCCAAAACCCCAAAACCCCAAAACCCCAAAACCCCAAAACCCCTAGGCTAATCGATAAATTTGAACATAAGATGGAACTTCTTATGAAATATAATTATGATCTACTTCGCAGTATCCTTCTTTTTACCTGCTTCCTTCTTCTTCATTTTTTTCTGTTGAGCAGCATGCTTCTTTTTAGCATTTCCATCAACATTAATTGGATCTCCGAATTCAAGATAACAGTCCTTTGGATACTCAAGCTTTTTAGCAGCACAATCCTTCCCGATGTCAGAAAGCTTATCCTTCTTAGCATTGAGTTCTTTTCCTGCTCCTTGAACTGATTCAAAAGCTTCTTGGATGGTATCCTTCAGCCCAGTTACAAGAGATGGGAGTTTAGCCATGTGCTTACTGTTAGATGCTGTATTCTTGGCAGCTTTGGCCTTCTCCATCATTCCAAGATCCTTAGAATTTGAAATATCATCCTTGCACTTTCCTGGCAGATCTGGAGCTTTCTCAGCAAAACTCTTGGCCTTATCTGCAAGGGGTTCAATTCTGTCTTTTGCGGCAGTTAGAGCTTTTATGTAATCTGTGAAAGCATCAATTGCTTTAATAGTATCTCCTTGAGCACTACTCTTGTTTAATTCCAAGAAAGGAGAGGCTGGCTTCACCTCAAACAAATTTTCAACACCTGCTCCATTAGTAGCTGCAGCAAGAGAGAAGACAATACCAACACAACAGTGATGAGCCGTTGCTCCAACAGTCTTATGAAAATTGGTATACCATAACAGATTCTCTAAGGCATCATCGATGGGATCTTGGATCTCATAAATTTCATCTACAAAGCCCTGCACTTCATCAAAGACCTCGTCCATTCCTGGTAGCTTAGTCTTTTGCATTCTAATCCTTCCATCACTTCCTGTTGAACTTCCACAACCCATTTTTAAATAGATTTTATTTTATTTCATTTGGCCTAGCCCTAAATGGGGTTTTGGGGTTTTGGGGTTTTGGGGTTTTGGGGTTTTGGGGTTTTGGGGTTTTGGGG